AATTTTTAACCTGCCCTGGGGAATTTTACCTCTTAAGGTGAACCCAAGGTGAATTATTTACTCGGACGTCGCTTGAATCTAGGACTGTAGGGATGATCCGGCAACCGTAGGTGCAGCCACATAGACAGGTTTCCTAAGAAACACAATAATAAAAGCAAGTGTTTTTTAAATAGTTAGCGTGGAGGAAAATGCTTTGACTTGGCTTTGATTACAGTGGATTCCGCTTTATTGGGCCATCGGTTAATAGGGGCAACCGGCTTATCGGGACATTTTGTCAGGAACGGAACCATTTCTATGCAAGTGCATATAAATTTCACCGTATATTTGGGACGAATATCCGCTTTATCGGGGCAAGGTCAGGGTAAATTTAAGCCGTCGGTCTCAGATGTTTTTTTTTTCCGCCCTCTCTCTTCCTCCTCTTCGCCGTGTGTTTTGTGGTTAAGAACTGGCCGACTGTTAAAGCAGAGACCATAGCAAACTGCTTCCGTGGATCGGGCTTTCTTTCTGGACCAGAGGTGCCAGCGTCAACCTATGAGGCGGGTCTGACTATACTTGATGTCACTAACGGAGAAGCTTACGTCAACATCGACGAAAACGAACCATGCTTCGCCGAACACGATGACTCTGAGGGCGATACAGTCGAGGACAGCGTTGCCATGAGGCCTCGCTTAGGGGATGCCGCAGACGAGGAACCTGAGAATTTACCTAAGGTGACTCACGTACGAAGCTAGGCGCTCGGTGGACATCCTTCAGCGCTACTTTATTGAGCAGGGTTTGGATAATAGAGAACATGGTGCTCTTGACATTGGTGCTTCAGAAAAGCTTTTTCGGTCGTGAAACAAGCAACTATGGGCAAATTTCTTGAATTGTAATTTTTCGTTTTGCACAAGTAAAGGACATTCGTATCTGGGTTTCTTACTATACTAAAAGGTAAGTTTTTCGCTTCATTAAGGCAGCCGCTTAATTGGGGCGAATAGACCCAATCAACGTGTCCCAATAAAGCGGAATCCACTTAATTTACAAATGTAACGAAATGATTTCCATCAGTTCCGGGGATAAGGCCCTAATCGCCAGAGCTGCGGTGGTGCTTCGCGTCGCAGTTTTTGGTTTGGTGGGTGAGGGGGGGGGGACGCCATTGGAACTCTTTGCCCTGGGCGCCAATATGCCTTGAAACGGCCCTGCTGACGAGCCGCCAGTGCTCTACAGTTGTTGCTAGTACTGTCGAGGTCTTAGCCTACTAATCTGATACAGTTGGCTGAAAAGCACTGTTTTAGGACCAAGCCTCTATCTTTCTGAATGCGGAGATGGGCGTGTGGGGGGGGGGGGGGGGGGGGGGGC